GTTTCAGATGTCCAGTGTACTGGGTCACGTGGCAGTGTGTGGAACCTAAGTTTGCTGATCTCAGGTAAATAGTTGCATTTCTCCAGGATCTTTTGATTAAGTTGATCCAAGAGTAGCTGTTGCTGTTTTTCCAGTCTGTCTGAATAGTTGATAAAAAGCACGTAGAGTATGGCATTGCGAAATTTACTTTGCCATTTTCAAAAGTTGTTGTAGTTGCTTCCAGGAGGTCAATGCCAGCTGTTTAAAAAGGCAGTTGTTTAAACCCCCTGATAGAACCACCTTCTCCACTGTTGGGTGTTGTTTTAATTTACCCCTTTTAAATGGTGGAATGTAGCACCTGCTTGCACTCTGAGACCAGCAAACCTAGATATCCGTCTCCAACTATGACAATTGGTTTTCTAATTGTAAGTTCCCAATCCAAAATGTTCCTGGTAGAATTTGGGTGCCTAACTGGTTCAAGGCAGGTGGTTATAGGATCCTAACAGGTAAATGAATCACTGGAGTAGAAGAAGAAATCCCCAGGTGGACCTCAGCTGGGACAAATCCCCCTGTTTTACTCTGACCTGGACCAAGAGGAAAAGTCCCCGAAGGGAGCAGCAGCGGGAGAACCGGAGCGGCAGCAACGTGGGGCCCCCTTGGGGGCTCAGACAAGGACGTATTCCGGGAAGGTTCCGTTTTGTCGTCACTTATCATATGTTCAACCCCCTCTCGGGTCCCAAGGGCAGCCGCACACGGGTCCCGCTCCCCCCCAACTCCGGGGTCCTCCTGGCGTTACTGTATAAAAACCTCTTAGGACTGTGAACAAGAGCCGGCTTCACCTGTGTTTGTTTCGAGATATCAACCCTCCCGGCGCCAACTCTGTGGTCATTGGATCTCCAGTAAGTATTTGGGGTCTAGAGGAATGTGTTTCAGCCGTAACTAAAATAGTTCCCCCCGTGTCCCCAGATCTAGCTCTGGAGCTGATAGACTGGGGGACCTCCTAAGGGAGCTCCTCTTAGACCTGTTTTTGGGCCCACCATTAACTAACCCACTAGCCGGACTGCTATTTCCCACTCCTTCCACATTACTGGGAGCTGGAGACAGGACACCGGACAGGCCTCCATGGTCAATTGGCCTGGGCCTACCACCTCACTAGCACTGGCCTTGGGAAGCATAGCCTGTAACATTGCCATTGATGATTGATTAAACTTGCATCTATATCTGGCCCTGGCCCAAGCAACAGCTCCATCAAAGGAATTGATATCAAATCCCCCTATCTCCTGTAACCCCGCTGCCAGGACTGAATCATAATGGTCCACTAAGATGGACATAGTGTCCATCCAGTGGTCCGTACTCTCCTTAACCAGAGTGGTTGAATTGGGTGAGGAAGGTTTAATAAAAGCTGTAAGTCTAACAACCCGTTTCATCATGCCAGGCGGGAAAGACCTGGTCATTTCTTCAAAAATGTCTGCATAATGAATGGCTTGTAATAATTAAAAATACTGCTTAGTCAATTTAGGGTCGAAAGAGGTTTAAAGAGTATCTGAACTTAAGGTGGGTGTATTCTCCCCCAGAGCTATAGATTGGGCCAAAGGCCCAAACCGATTTCTTATAGGAAGTGTCATTTTTCTACCGCCATAAAAAAGAACAGCAGTCAACAATGTTATCCCAACTGAGTCTCCACTACACCACGGACCGTTTTGAAATTAAAAACAAAGGGGAAGAAAATATAAAATGTTCATAAAAAACAAGACATAAAAACTATTCAAATCATGAAAGTCCCTTGCTGTTATCCTACCAAAACATGATTTGGTAATGGTTCACTAACCAAAGGAAATTGTCCATGAAATCAACAATGTTCAAAGGTTAAAAATCCTTCACCTTAATCATTTTCCAGGTTTTTGTTGTCACTGGAGCTTCCTTTCGAGTGAATTTGCAGTCCAAGAGGCCTTCATATGCTAGATTCCATAGCACTGTTCTTGCATGGCTTGTTATAGCCAAACATAGTTAAAAAAAACGTGGTTTCTCTAACCAGTGGGTGAAACATAAAAAGTCTAAAGGTAATTTAAAATATCCTTAAATCCAAGATAAAAGGAATTAAAAATAGCTTAAAGACCTGTTAAGGAAACTTTCAGAAGACAAACAGAGCCCTTACGTTTCAGCTGATAGCTTTCTTCAGAGGTAATGAGTAGTCACCAACACCTGTGTTAATATGGAGAATTAAGGGGGAGGATCTACAGTTCCCAAAACATGTGTATGGCTTAGTCCTCCGTCAATCCCCCCATTCTCCTCCAATCAACAGTCCCGATTGGGGTGGGTGTCCAATCATTGAGAACTACTTGACAAACAAATTAAGACAATGAAAATACTAAAACAATCCAGTCAAAGAAGTCTTTTAAAACCCAAATGATGTGTAAAATGCCAGGCTCGGGCTGGGTTAGGTTTAATAAATAACAGACGAATCTGATGTGCACTGGCACTGGCAAAACCTTTCAAATAAGTGGTAAGACTTGTGTATAAAAATACTTGAATGACTAAAAAATAAAATAAAAGAGGACCAGAATCAGAATTTAAAATAAAGCTTGGGTTAAGAACCAGGGATTCAGTCCTGAGAATTAGAGACCAGGGGCCAAGGTCAGAACGATGGTCTAGAGGTTAGGGTTTGGTATGACCTCCCGGCTCTGTCGTAGCCGGCCGTGACCGGGAGACCCATGGGGCGGCGCACAATTGGCCTAGGGTAGGGGAGGGAATGGCCGGCAGGGAGGGAGCTCAGTTGGTAGAGCATGGCGTTTGCAACACCAGGGTTGTGGGTTCGTTTCCCACGGGGGGCCAGTATGAAAAAAGTATGTATGCACTAACTGTAAGTCGCTCTGGATAAGAGCGTCTGCTAAATGACTAAAATGTAAATGTACTGTATGAGGGTTTAGGGGTGAGGGTATAGGGGTTAGGGTAAGGTAGGGGACAAATTCTTAACCCCAAGTGGGTGTTAAGTGTGCACGGGCACAGGAGCTATATACAGTGGGGGAAAAAAGTATTTAGTCAGCCACCAATTGTGCAAGTTCTCCCACCTAAAAAGATGGGAGAGGCCTGTAATTTTCATCATAGGTACACGTCAACTATGACAGACAAAATGAGAAAAAAAAATCCAGAAAATCACATTGTAGGATTTTTTATGAATTTATTTGCAAATTATGGTGGAAAATAAGTATTTGGTCAATAACAAAAGTTTCTCAATACTTTGTTATATACCCTTTGTTGGCAATGACACAGGTCAAACGTTTTCTGTAAGTCTTCACAAGGTTTTCACATACTGTTGCTGGTATTTTGGCCCATTCCTCCATGCAGATCTCCTCTAGAGCAGTGATGTTTTGGTGCTGTCGCTGGGCAACACGGACTTTCAACTCCCTCCAAAGATTTTCTATGGGGTTGAGATCTGGAGACTGGCTAGGCCACTCCAGAACCTTGAAATGCTTCTTACGAAGCCTTCGTTGCCCGGGCGGTGTGTTTGGGATCATTGTCATGCTGAAAGACCCAGCCACGTTTCATCTTCAATGCCCTTGCTGATGGAAGGAGGTTTTCACTCAAAATCTCACGATACAGCCCCAAAGCATGATGTTTCCACCCCCATGCTTCACAGTAGGTATGGTGTTCTTTGGATGCAACTCAGCATTCTTTGTCCTCCAAACACGACGAGTTGAGTTTTTACCAAAAAGTTCTATTTTGGTTTCATCTGACCATATGACATTCTCCCAATCCTCTTCTGGATCATCCAAATGCACTCTAGCAAACTTCAGACAGGCCTGGACATGTACTGGCTTAAGCAGGGGGACACGTCTGGCACTGCAGGATTTGAGTCCCTGGCGGCGTAGTATGTTACTGATGGTAGGCTTTGTTATTTTGGTCCCAGCTCTCTGCAGGTCATTCACTAGGTCCCCCCGTGTGGTTCTGGGATTTTTGCTCACCGTTCTTGTGATCATTTCGACCCCACGGGGTAAGATCTTGCGTGGAGCCCCAGATCGAGGGAGATTATCAATGGTCTTGTATGTCTTCCATTTCCTAATAATTGCTCCCACAGTTGATTTCTTCAAACCAAGCTGCTTAGCTATTGCAGTTTCAGTCTTCCCAGCCTGGTGCAGGCCTACAATTTTGTTTCTGGTGTCCTTTGACAGCTCTTTGGTCTTGGCCATAGTGGAGTTTGGAGTGTGACTGTTTGAGGTTGTGGACAGGTGTCTTTTATACTGATAACAAGTTCAAACAGGTGCCATTAATACAGGTAACGAGTGGAGGACAGAGGAGCCTCTTAAAGAAGAAGTTACAGGTCTGTGAGAGCCAGAATTCTTGCTTGTTTGTAGGTGACCAAATACTTATTTTCCACCATAATTTGCAAATAAATTCATAAAAAATCCTACAATGTGATGTTCTAGAATTTTTTTTCTCATTTTGTCTGTCATAGTTGACGTGTACCTATGATGAAAATTACAGGCCTCTCTCATCTTTTTAAGTGGGAGAACATTCACAATTGGTGGCTGACTAAATAATTGTTTTACACACTGTATATCCTCCTTTATGTTTAATAAAATAAAAAATAAATAAAAAACAGGAGAGACAAGGACAAGACAAGACATTACAGTAGGATCCCAAAAACGAGAAGGTTTTTAAAAAAAAAATAGGTTTAAGTTTTAGGCAACGGTGCCACTGAGGTTAGGTTTAGGCACCGGTGTCTCTGAGGTTAGGGTTAGGGTCAGGGTTAAGGTTAGGGTTAGGGTTTGGTAGAGGGTTAGGGTTACAATGCAGTTGGTGAATTTAGCATAATGGGAAATACAAGTATTTGCATAATTCGAGGTAGATACCAAATAGAAGAGAGCACAATGGCACTGGCTAGGTTAGGTTTATGATCAATTCTGTTTTTTGAGGTTTTTCACCTTGCGTTGCACTGGCCTATTGTGATCTCTGTTATTATTTCCATTCTGGGTTTGTGTGTGAAAATGTAAGATGTATGAATAGTTTACCTACACTTACATTTTGCCATTCAATCCAAGTGGAGCCAGAGATCTAAGGGTGGCTATCCTCTTGGATTCTGCGGCCTTTCTCTGGGCTATGGTCCAGGTGGAGACAGTTTCTAACCTAGTGATGTTCAGGTGTATAATCGGGTGTGTTTGGAAGTGTATAACTAGATGTGTGGACAGTTTATTATTAGTGATTGTATATAGATGTTGTTTAAGACGTGTTAAAATTGTAGATCCAGTTTCCCCCACATAGATTTTTTGGCATAATGCACAAGTGATTGCATAAACAATGTTAGTACTGTTTATGTTCATCAGTTGTTTGATTGGGCTAAAAGTGTGTGCGTGTGGGTTGTGTATGTTTGTCAGTTGTCTGTAGTAGTGACTTTCCATGGGTACTGGGGGAGAGGGCCTGTTCGAAAATGTTGCATGAACTAAGAGGTCCTTCAGATTAGGATTCCTCCTGTATGCTGAGATGGGTCGGAATGGTTTTAGTGGGGGGAAGACATGTTGTGTATTAGAAAATGCGCTTTTTCATCTTGAGTGTATGCGTTGGTTTGTGTGTGAATAGGTGCTGATTATTGGTAACCTCTTAAGTTCAGGCCCTGTAACCAAGGTGGGAGTGGGGTTTCTAGGGAAAGTCTGAGGGTTAGGGTTGTGGTTAGGGTTAGAGTTAAGGTTCGTGTTAGTGTCAGGAACAATGCCACCTGTGTTAAGGTTAGGAGGGAGAAGGTTAGGGTTCAGGGTGGGGTTAAGGTTAGGGTTAGAGTTGGGGTTAGTGTCAGGAACAGTACCACCAGGGTTAGGGTTAGGTTTTGAATTAGGGTAGGCTTAAAGAGAGACTGGTTTTGTCTTGTGGTGCGCAGGCCTATTGTTGTGTGCCCCTCCAATATAATGCTATAAACCATTCCACTGTTAAAATGATCTAGATTACCCCCTAATAACCTCACCAAAAGTAAGTAGGTTATTATTATTTCTAAAATGATAGTCTGAGTGGTTATCTAGGACCATGAAGGGACTGGGATATTAAAATATACAAGGGATCAGGGGATAGATGCTTTAATAATACATATACAAACACAATTATAGACACATATATAAGCGTTAGAAGACAAAGTGCTAGGAGATAAAGTGCTAAAATGTCAAAACAAATTCAAATACATAAAAAATAAGGAATAAAACTATTTCAGATGAGCATGCAAATATTAAATATTAGACAACCACTGCAACTTTATTTTTTGTATTTTTTGTTTGAATAGTGCATCCTCCTTTCACCTCCTTGAGATCCCTGTAAACAAGTGCTATCCCTTTCAATTGATCCTATCTACTGGTTAAAAACGCTCATTCAGACCGTGGGTGTAATCGTTTGTAGATCTCTTATCCACCCACGTTCCACTGCTTTTCGCCGCCCACTGGTCCACCCAGAACACGACTGTAAGCCGGATATATTGAGGTAAGTGATGGGGTGATCCTGGAAATGAGTCACTAGTTCTGTGTGTAGATGGGCCCGTTTGATGTTGTATAGATGTTGTTTAAGTCTATTTCTATGTATACTGAGTTTTCCCCGATGTAGTGTTTTTTGCATAATGTAACAGGTAATTATATGAATACATTTGGAGTGTTGAGTGGATAGAGTCTAAAACTGTGTGGAGGTCTTGCTATGTGGATTTGAATGAATTTTCTTGGTCTGAAGTGGGCCGTGTGAGGTTTGGGGTGGTTGTGGGGGGCTTAGTGCTGTATTTGGCTTTGATTAGGACGTCTTTGAGACCTTATTCCTTCTGGATTCTAATGCTGTTAGTTATTCTATGGGGGGGGCTGGATTGGTTTAGGGTGGTTAGGGGGTTTGTCGGGTAGGTTAGGGTTGGAATAAGATCGGGTTTAATGTTAAGGTTAGGTGCGGGGCGGATACAAACCGTATAGGGTTAGAACAGGTTAGGGTGGGGGTAGGGGTTGGACAGGTAAGGGTTATTAAGGTTAGGTCAGGGGCGGGAGAGGATACGAACCCGGGTTAGGTAAGGGTTAGGTTAGGGTCAGGGCGGGAGCAGGATACGACCCCGGTTAGGGTAAGTGGTTAAGTTTGGGGTTAGGGTTAGGAGTAGGTTGGGGTAGGGGTTGGAACAGGATACAACCCGGGTTAGAGTAAGGGTTAAGGTAGGGTCAGGGGCGGGAGCAGGATACGAAACCCGGGTCTAGGGTTAAGGGTTAAGGTTTAGGGTCAGGAGCAGGATTCGAACCCAGGTTAGGGTAAGGGTTAAGTTTGGGGTTAGGGTTAGGAGTAGGGTTGGAACAGGATACGAACCCGGGTTAGGGTAGGGTTTAAGGTTAGGGGTCAGGGGTTAGGGTTTAGGGTTAGGGGTGGGAACAGGATACGAACCCAGGTTAGGGTAAGGGTTAAGGTTAGGGGCAGGAGCAGGATACGAACCCGGGTTAGGGTCAGGGTTAAGGTTAGGGTCAGGGTTAAGGTCAGTAGAAGGGGGGGATTTGGTAGTGCCTCCAGAACCTCTGTAATGAAAGTTGTGGTCAGAAAGAGTGATTGACAGACTTGTGTTTTGTGGGTGTGTTAGCTGAATGAAAGAGACGACCGCCAAGGTGCTGCTTTTTATGGTTCTGAGATATCGTTTGGAGTAGCCTCTTTGTCTAAGTGCATGAAATAGAGTTTGAATTGCTTTGTCCAGATCCTGTTTACAGGAGGATATCCTATGGAACCGTATAATTTGTGATTTGACGATGCTTTTAAATGTATGTTTGGGATGATAACTCTGTTTATGGAGTAGAGCATGTGTATCTGTTGGTTTGAAATAAACTTTAGTGAGTAATGTTTTTTGGGATTGGTTTATCTGATTAAAGAAGACTGTAGTATCCAAGAAATGTACTTCACATGGATCTATTGTGTATTTAACCTTAATGGACGGGTGATGACTGTTGAGAATGCTGATGAATTCAGTGAATAGTTGGATGTCATGAGGCCAGGCTCCTATGATGTCGTCTAGAAATCTGTAATAAAATGTGGGTTGATGTGGGCACTTTGCCAATGCCTCTCTCTCCCATTCAGCCATGTAGATGTTTGCATATGCAGGGACAAATTTCTTCCCCATAGCCGTTCCCTCCACCTGTAAGTAGTGCCTATCATTGAATATAAAGTCGTTGTGTGTGAGACTAAATTTCTAATAATTGTATTAGTTCATTGTCTGGTCTATTCCTATCTGGGTGTGCTTGGAGTAGATTTCTAACCGTCTGTATTCCTGTTGCTGTATTTATGTTGGTATATAAACTATCAATGTCTATAGTGAATATGTATGTTTGGGAGGGAACAACTATGGGTTTAATCTTCTCAAGAAAGTGGTAAGTGTCTCTGAGGTAGCTGGGGTGTCTAGTGGAGAGAGGGTTACTGGGGTGTCTAGTGGAGAGAGGGTTGATATGATGGTCAATATATTGAGCTATGTTGTACGGTTCACTATTAGAGTCTGATACGATGGGCCTGCCAGGAGGAACTTCATGGGGAATTGTCCAGGTGCCTGGTTCTTTGTGAATTTTACAAAGTAGGTAAAACAGTCTGGGTCGTGGGGTGTCTGGTCCAAATAGAAAGTCTGGTTGTTTCTTATTGATGTACCGTTTATCATAAAGTGTTTGTATGATTCTGCGTAGCTTAGTCTGAGTCTGTGGTTGTATGCTGTCTTCTATTGGTACATAGTACTTGGTGTTGGATAACTGTCTGTTTGCCTCATATGTGTATTGATGCTTGTCTAGGATCACTGTTGTTAGTGTTAAGGTTAGGGTTAGGGGGACAAATTCTTAACTCCAAGTGGGTGTTAAGTGTGCACGGGCACAGGAGCTATATATATCCTCCTTTATGTTTAAATGAAATCCCCAGAAAAACATATTAAAAAAATTTAAAATACAGGAGAGACAAGGACAAGACAAGACATTACAGTAGGATCCCAAAAACGGGAAGGGAAGGAATTAAGGTTTAGGCACCGGTGTCTCTGAGGTTAGGGTTAGGGTTAGGTTTAGGGTCAGGGTTAGGGTTAAGGTTAGGGTTAGGGTTTAGGGTTTAAGGTTAGGTGGAGGACTTTAGGGTTAAGGTTAGGTTTTAGGCACCGGTGTCACTGAGGTTAGGGTTAGGGTTTAGGGTTAGGTAGAGGACTTTAGGCTTAAGGTTAGGTTTTAGGCACCGGTGTCACTGAGGTTAGGTTTAGGCACTGGTGTCACTGAGGTTGGGGTTAGGGTTAAGGTGAGGGGCAGGGGAATATTCTCTAGTTTAGGAACAATGTCACTGGGGTTAGGGTTAGGTCAAAAGTTGGAGGGGAATATTCTGTCTTGGGCAGTGTTAACCAACTGGCTACCGGAACCTGTTTCTATCTCACTGTGGGGGAAGCAACAAAAAGGGAGAAAACCACTATCTCAATAAATATTTAAATAAATATAGAAAAATATATAAGTGCTTATAAAAAGGGGGGGAGGAAAAACAAGGGGTGCAGAATTTATATCCTCCCTAAATGCAAAAGGACCAAATAAAGTAAGTAAATATATTCCTGTAAACCATATACACCACGTCAAACCAAACCAATAAATAAATAAATACAATAATTTCATAGCCAGTGTTTTCTAACCCTCTTTTATTTCATAAACCCACAGGTGATTTCTGCTGTCACTCCTAGATGTCCACATAAGATGGCTTTTAAACAACAGGTAAGTGGAGACTTTTATTAGTTTTAGGAACAGGCACAATTGAGGTTAGACTTTTATTGTGAAATTCCCTTGATTTCTAATTTAGGATAAGTTTTCCTTTTGAAGGCAAGTGAAGCCCCAGCTAAAACAAGAATACAATGATTGCAACCTGCCTCCAAAAAGGACTCCCTGTCAAGGTATGACAAAAAATATATAGACTGCAGGAAATGCACCAATTATGTACAATTAATAAAGTACAATTAAAATAAATATACAATAAGTGCTTTTCATGCATAAAAAAAAAAGGGGGGGGGGGGGGGGGGTAACATGCAAAAGTGCCATGCTGGTCCTACCAGACGTCAATAAATATTTTCTTTGTAACATAGAAGAAATAGAAAACCACACAATTTTCAAATTCATTTATTGGTACATTCCCGCAGTCAATACATCTCTCCCCCTTATGTATATCTCTTAAGCCTTAGAGGGAGCTCCAGCTGCCGTCTCCGAAACCGGACGCTAGATGGAGGTAAGGTGCTAGGTGGTTTAGAATTTCTCATTTAAGCCCATTGGATCAATATTCTTAATAACCTTAATCCAATGTCTTTCTGCCCTCTGTCATTGCAGTTTTGACCAGTTTTTATTAGTCTCTAAACCGAAAATTGTGACATTATCCACAGTGTGTCCCTGAAAGTGGGTATATAGCACTGTGGTTCTGTCCATTTTACCAATGTGATATAAGTGCTGTTTAAGTCTATCACCTAAGGAATTTTTGGTTTCACTGATATATATCTTCCGACACATACTGCACCTAATCCCATAGACCACATTGGCCATTCCAACCCCATGTTATGCCATATTGGAGCCCCCAACCCTGAAAAGGTGTTTTTAAGATATTTGAGTTTTAAAAGATATTTGTCATTACCCAGTGGTTTTTTCTTTTGTGTGAGACTAGAGTGAACCAGTATGTCTTTAAGGTTTTTATTTCTCCTATATGCTGATATCACTCTGAATTTCTCTAACGCCCCATTGGCCTGCTGAGCCTGTTGGAAGTGGGATTTAAGTTTGGAGCAGAGTCCCACCAAGCTCTGGGAATATGTTGCCACAAAAGGTATGATAGTACGGTTGTCAATCTCTTTATTATACCCTTCATCATTTTCGAATATCTGTTTCACCTCAGTTTATATTTCCCTCAGAAAACGTTTGGAGTAGCCCCGCGGCCCTAGAGCTCTAAAGAGCGTTGCTGTGGCCTTCTCCACGTCTTCTGACAAGGTACAGATCCTATTGAAACGTATAAGTTGGAATTTTATCAACCCCCTATATGTATGTTTTGGGTGGAAACTAGATTTGTGCAAAAGAGCACAACCCCCTATATGTATTTTCTGAGGGAAATATAAACTGAGGTGAAACAGATATTCGAAAATGATGAAGGGTATAATAAAGAGATTGACAAATGTCTGTCTGTTTCTTTAAAGAAAACTCTTGTTGCCAGTGATTTAGTTTCTCCCTCAAGCATAAAAAACACTTGTGTATCTAAAAACTCTAGTTTCTCCTCCTGTATATTGTGTGTGATGGTAATTGCTGGATGGTGTGTATTTAAAACATCCAAAAATTCCTCAAACTCTAAAATGGAGTGCCCCCATATGCCAAAGATGTCATCAAGATATCTGCCATAGAGCAGTGGTAAGGTCTTACATTTAATAAATGCTGTTTCCTCCCAAAAGCACATGTACAGGTTTGCAAAAGCTGGTGCAAATGTTTTACCCATTGCTGTTCCATGAATTTGGAGGTAATACTTATCATTAAATTCAAAATCATTCCTGGTCAGACTTAGCTCCAATAAATCCAAAATAGCCCTATCTGGACGTTTAGGGTCAGGGAATCTATTAACAGCATTTATGACTGCCGGTAGGCCCAGAGCCGTCTCAATGTTAGTATACAGTGAATTGATGTCTATAGAAAAATAAAAAGGCCTCTATCGGTACTTTCAAGCCTTTCAGCTTATTCACAAAGTCATATGTATCTTTCACATAACTAGCGTGTTTCTGGGAGAGAGGATTAATATAATAATCTATATATTCTGCAATCCGATATGACTCTGAGCCACAGTCACTCACAATAGGACACCCGCATGGAACCTGGAAAGGAACAGTCCACTTCTCTGGAGCTTTGTGAATCTTAGGAAGCAAATAAAATTGTCTGGATCTAGGTGAATCTGGTCCCAACAGGTAAGACATTTGTTTAACCGTAATAACGTTTTTTTTTTATACAACTCTACCACTAACACAGGGAGAAAGATTAAGGACTGGGTGATTGACATTGGTAAACCTATTGTGGTGATAGGAGATTCAAATCTGTCACGCACCCCTGCCTTTTGTGATGCTCGTGTGCAGGTGGATAGCTTTCCAGGGGCCACCTTCTATCATCTGAAAGGCGTTTTGGAGAAGCTAGAACCAAACCCTGCCATAGAGAAGGTGATTCTGTCTGCAGGCTTAAACAACTGCCTCTTGAGACAGACATCTAGCACCACCTGGAAACAGCTGCATCAGTTGCTGAAGGTGTGTGAGAACAGGTTTCCAAGTGCAATACTCTATGTCCCACTAAGACATTTTTCAGATAGGCTGGAAAGAGATCAGCAGTCTCTCATAAATAGACTGAACAAAACCAAACTTTCCCCATGTGCCTTTTACAAACCCTTCCACTTAGACTCTAATTTAGGATCCCGTCTCACATTCTATACAGACTCTCATATGGAGGGACTTGGATTCTTTTGCGAAGTTTAGGCCCAAACCAGCAGTTAATTTTAACCTTACTCAACAACAATTAAATGCTATTAAGAATTATAGTAACAAATCAGAGTATCATAATAAAACCAGCTGATAAGGGGTCACAAATTGTCATCATGGATAAGGTACAATATCTTGTGGAGGCAAATAGACAGCTAAGTATTGAGAAACATTATGTCCCGCTACCTCACACTATTCAATCTGAGACACAGGGTATGATCCGTGATATAGTGGTAGAGTTGTATGAAAAAAAATATATATTACGGTGAAACAAATGTCTTACCTGTTGGTACCAGATTCACCTAGACCCAGACAATTTTATTTGCTTCCTAAGATTCACAAAGCTCCAGAGAAGTGGACTGTTCCTTTCCAGGTTCCATGCGGCCGTCCTATTGTGAGTGACTGTGGCTCAGAGTCATTTCGGGTTGCAGAATATATAGATTATTATATTAATCCTCTCTCCCAGAAACACGCTAGTTATGTGAAAGATACATACAGTGGGGAAAAAAAGTATTTAGTCAGCCACCAATTGTGCAAGTTCTCCCACTTAAAAAGATGAGAGAGGCCTGTAATTTTCATCATAGGTACACGTCAACTATGACAGACAAATTGAGAAAAAAAAAAATCAAGAAAATCACATTGTAGGATTTTTAATGAATTTATTAGCAAATTATGGTGGAAAATAAGTATTTGGTCACCTATAAACAAGCAAGATTTCTGGCTCTCACAGACCTGTAACTCCTCTGTCCTCCACTCGTTACCTGTATTAACGGCACCTGTTTGAACTTGTTATCAGTATAAAAGACACCTGTCCACAACCTCAAACAGTCACACTCCAAACTCCACTATGGCCAAGACCAAAGAGCTGTCAAAGGACACCAGAAACAAAATTGTAGACCTGCACCAGGCTGGGAAGACTGAATCTGCAATAGGTAAGCAGCTTGGTTTGAAGAAATCAACTGTGGGAGCAATTATTAGGAAATGGAAGACGTACAAGACCACTGATAATCTCCCTCGATCTGGGGCAAGATCTCACCCCGTGGGGTCAAAATGATCACAAGAACGGTGAGCAAAAATCCCAGAACCACACGGGGGGACCTAGTGAATGGCCTGCAGAGAGCTGGGACCAAAGTAACAAAGCCTACCATCAGTAACACACTACGCCGCCAGGGACTCAAATCCTGCAGTGCCAGACGTGTCCCCCTGCTTAAGTCAGTACATGTCCAGGCCCGTCTGAAGTTTGCTAGAGTGCATTTGGATGATCCAGAAGAGGATTGGGAGAATGTCATATGGTCAGATGAAACCAAAATATAACTTTTTGGTAAAAACTCAACTCGTCGTGTTTGGAGGACAAATAATGCTGAGTTGCATCCAAAGAACACCATACCTACTGTGAAGCATGGGGGTGGAAACATCATGCTTTGGGGCTGTTTTTCTGCAAAGGGACCAGGACGACTGATCCGTGTAAAGGAAAGAATGAATGGGGCCATGTATCGTGAGATTTTGAGTGAAAACCTCCTTCCATCAGCAAGGGCATTGAAGATGAAACGTGGCTGGGTCTTTTAGCATGACAATGATCCCAAACACACCGCCCGGGCAACGAAGGAGTGGCTTCGTAAGAAGCATTTCAAGGTCCTGGAGTGGCCTAGCCAGTCTCCAGATCTCAACCCCATAGAAAATCTTTGGAGGGAGTTGAAAGTCTGTGTTGCCCAGCGACAGCCCCAAAACATCACTGCTCTAGAGGAGATCTGCATGGAGGAATGGGCCAAAATACCAGCAACAGTGTGTGAAAACCTTGTGAAGACTTACAGAAAACGTTTGACCTGTGTCATTGCCAACAAAGGGTATATAACAAAGTATTGAGAAACTTTTGTTATTGACCAAATACTTATTTTCCACCATAATTTGCTAATAAATTCATTAAAAATCCTACAATGTGATTTTCTGGATATTTTTTTCTCATTTTGTCTGTCATAGTTGACGTGTACCTATGATGAAAATTACAGGCCTCTCTCATCTTTTTAAGTGGGAGAACATTGCACAATTGGTGGCTGACTAAATACTTTTTTTCCCCACTGTATGACTTTGTGAATAAGCTGAAAGGCTTGAAAGTACAGATAGAGGCCTTTTTATCAATTCACTGTATACTAACATTGAGATGGCTCTGGGCCTACCGGCAGTCATAAATGCTGTTAATAGATTCCCTGACCCTAAACGTCCAGATAGGGCTATTTTGGATTTATTGGAGCTAAGTCTGACCAGGAATGATTTTGAATTTAATGATAAGTATTACCTCCAAATTCATGGAACAGCAATGGGTAAAACATTTGCACCAGCTTTTGCAAACCTGTACATGTGCTTTTGGGAGGAAACAGCATTTATTAAATGTAAGACCTTACCACTGCTCTATTGCAGATATCTTGATGACATCTTTGGCATATGGGGGCACTCCATTTTAGAGTTTGAGGAATTTTTGGATGTTTTAAATACACACCATCCAGTAATTACCATCACACACAATATACAGGAGGAGAAACTAGAGTTTTTAGATACACAAGTGTTTTTTATGCTTGAGGGAGAAACTAAACCATTGGCAACAAGAGTAAAATGGTACAGAACCACAGTGCTATATACCCACTTTCAGGGACACACTGTGGATAATGTCACAATTTCCGGTTTAGAGACTAATAAAAACTGGTCAAAACTGCAACGACAGAGGGCAGAAAGACGTTGGATTAAGGTTATTAAGAATATTGATCCAATGGGCTTAAATTAGAAATTCTAAACCACCTAGCACCTTACCTCCATCTAGCGTCCGGTTTCGGAGACGGCAGATGGAGCTCCCTCTAAGGCTTAAGAGATATACATAAGGGGGAGAGATGTATTGACTGCGGGAATGTACCAATAAATGAATTTGAAAATTGTGTGGTTTTCTATTTCTTCTATTTTACAAAGAAAATATTTATTGACGTCTGGTAGGACCAACATGGCACTTTTGCATGTTACCCCCGCCCCCTTTTTTTATGCATGAAAAGCACTTATTGTATATTTATTTTAATTGTACATAATTGGTGCATTTCCTGCAGTCTATATATTTTTTGTCATACCTTGACGGGGAGTCCTTTTTGGCGGCAGGTTGCAGTGTAGATCAACATGAATATACTCCTTCACAATCATTGTATTCTTGTTTTAGCTGGGGCTTCACTTGCCTTCAAAAGGAAAACGTATCCTAAATTAGAAAAAGGGAATTTCACAATAAAAGTCTAACCTCAATTGTGCCTATTCCTAAAACTAATAAATAA